GGGGATGGGGGGGGGAGGGAAGGGGAGGAGGAGGGGGAGCAGGGTGGGTCAAGTGAGGATGTAATATTACTAATAAGACCTTAAAGGCGGGATGAAGAGATCAAGCAATAAAATACAATTCATTGGAATACAATGAATGAAATGTGGCACCATACATTACAAACAAATTTAAATGCAGTGCCATTCAACGAGATACAATGCAAACAAATGAAATGTAAGGCATCATTAACAAACATGTTTTAAAGAACATTTTGTGTAATGCTATTGTGTTAGATATAACGTCTGAAAAATTGTCAAAGTTACGAGTTCTAAAAAAATGAAACAGCAAAAATTGATAATGAAACGAAAGAAGTCTGACCAGGTAATACATTTTCCCGAAGAACTCCACTGGTTGCAGGTAAAACAAAGGAAGGAATACAAAACTGCCGTTTTCTTTTTAAAATTATGTCTCAATGATAATGCACCTATGTAGCTTTTAAAAAAATACTGAGTAACATGTATATCATCCACCAGAAGCTCTTAGATCAGCTAAAAAATATCAATCCTCAAAAATCCAAAACAAAAATATATGGCACACGGCGAATCCTTTTTTTCACACTTTGGTCATCATGTATGGACAATATCCCTAACAAAATGCAGAGTGTTCCCAATATTCATAGACATTTTCAAGAAACAGCTAAATTTTACTAAGCATTACTTCCTCAAAAATGCATCCTTGTTATTATCACTTTATATTTTCTGGTACGTACATAATATCATTATGTTCGATCAGCAGTAATGCAAAATGCAAAAGTGTGGCACTTTACGAACCACCATACACAAACTAGACACAAAAGTTTGCATATTAAAAACTTCATATTATGCTTAATGTCTCGTGCCTTTTAAATTTTCAGATAAACAAGACAGAATTTTTTAAGCTGTTTAAATAATGAAGTTATGCCCTCAAAACAGCTAGTTTAGTTTTAGTTGAGTTTTTACTGCGCTCGCAACTACAGAAGGTCATATGAGCGCAAGAAGATTAGAGGTGTTACAAGAGAGAGAAACAACATAAAAAAAGAAGAAGGGGAGATAAGGACGATAGATGTTCGATAGGAAAGAAGCGCATCATTCTTCAACTGTTACCGATTGACAAGAATGCCCCGTGAACATGGAGGGAGTTAACTGACCTATATCAGGCTGTGAGGTGAGGATTCTGAGGACCACATCCGGGTCAAGAGTACCGTCCCACTCGGACACGCGGGAGTACAGGGACTGGACACGGACCATGTCAGGCAGGGAGCGCTTCCTCACTGACGTCACAGCGGTCATCTGTTGGGAAAAAAGGGGGGGTGGGAGGGGGTCGGTTTGGAAGTGAAAAAGGGGAAAAGCAAGACGGGGATGAAAGGGGACAGGGAATAATAATAATAATATTGTTTCTGAAGTTACTTATTGGTTCTAACTTCTAGGCTTGTAAGGCTACTCACGTTGATCACATTGTGTAAAGAGGTCAAGGCTACTCATTTTGATCACATTGTGTAAAGAGGTCAAGGCTACTCATTTTGATCACGTTTCGTAAAGAGGTCAAGGCTACTCATTTTGATCACGTTGGGTAAAGAGGCCAAAGTTACTCACTGTGCTCGCGTGACCTGTAGGGGTTGGGAGGGGGGGGGTTGTCAATGTTACTCACTGAGCTTACGTGACTGGTCGAAGTCAAGGCTACCCAGTGCGCTCAGGTGACCTGTAGGAGGTTCCAGGCTACTCATTGTGTCCATGCGACTACTTGTGCATGTCGAGACTATTCTCATTATTCGCGTCACATGTGACCGGGGGGGGGGGGTGTTAAGGGTTACTCATTGTGCTGAAATCACCTCTGGCGGTCAACATAGGTACTCACACTGAATTCTCGTGACCTGTGGGGGCGGTCAAAGCTACTTACTGTGGAGGCCAGTTCCTGAGACCTGCGCCTGGTGATGGGTGGCAGACTCGGGTAACCCTTCAGGGGACTTGGGGTGTCGATGGATGAGCCAGACTATGTGGACAGGGCGGGGGTTAGGGGAGGGTGGGGGTGGGGGTAAAAGGGGTTGAAGGGAGAAATAGGGGAATGGGACGGAGGGGATGAGAGGGGAGGGGAGGGGAAAGGGGGTGGATGGGAAATAGGGGACGGGAGGGGAGGGGTTGAGAGGGGTGGGTAGGGGAAAGGGGAGTAGAGACGGGTGGGAAGGGGACGGGTAAGAATAGAAAATCCTATCTATCAATCTATTTCTCTGAACGTCTATATTGCCCCATAGACACACACATTCCCACACATACAAACGCATAAACAAAGCACACCACTGACAAAACACGTGTATACATAAAGAATATCAAATTCACACACATACATACACACACGAGCGCGCGCGCGCGCTTCTGCGTACATACACATACGCACAGTATCGCACACATACAAAAACACAACAAACATTTTTAAAAG